GGGAGGGGTGGGGGGAGGGGAGCTTTTTGCAGCTCCCCATCGAGATCGCTGGCTTTCATGGGTTTTCCCATATCCTCCCTTTTCACTGTTCTCTGATTTGATCCTTAAGCCCCAGGCTCACCTGAAGAGAGGCCGGCAGAGATTTTCCATTTTTCTTTGCGATGTGCTTAATAATCCTGATGGCTTTGGCATTTTTGTTCTGGGAGATCAGCCACCTCGGAGATTCAGGTATGCACCTATGATACAATGCCAGTGGAGAGGAAAACCTTACCAACCACCCCTCCAAATATTCATGATCAGATCTTGCACAGAGGGGTTCAGTTGGATCTACAAAGGAAGTAAAGATCATGCAAGGGCATATGTGGCTCTTTCCTCCTGCAAGTGCTGACTTGTAGTCAGCCTTGTCCAGGAAGCTTTTGGGTTCCTCTGCAGAGATTTCTAAGTGGAACCCCAGAAAGCAAGCTGCAAAGCAGGGTGCACCTGGGTATCCAACTCTGTGCTATAAGAAGGAGAGGCAGGCCAGCTGGGGTGGGCCCCAGGCTCTGTAGAGACCTGAGAAGGAGGTGGGAGTATGTACACCATCACAGGTGAAAGCAAGAGGGTATGTTACGCCAAAAGTTGATTTCCAAAAGGAATGAGATAAGCACTGAAGGTCAGATGGTGGGGGAACTTAAAAGCCAGTCTGCATAGACTGAGCTTGATATAGCAGAGCTCGGGGAGCCCTGGCAGGTCCTCGAGCAGGACTATAGCCATTGGATCTGTGTCTGGAGAGGACTCTGAGTGGTGGGTTCAGGGTGAACGGGAAGAGGAGGAACTGGAGCAAGGAGGGGGCAGGGTGCTCTCATGGCAGCTCTTGGGTAGAGGTAGGAAGGCCCCAGCTGGAACCATCACTCTGGGGGAGAAGCTGCTGGGAGGCACCAGAGGCACTTGGGGTGATGTTTCTGTGGGAGCGCAGTGGAGAAGAGTCTGGGCGATTCCTCGGTTAGGACCTGGAGTCCGGGATGGGGGCATGGCTTGCTCCACCACACTCAGTCCACAGCTCACAGCCTGAACCTCCCACTGTGATGCTGCAGGGCCATTTTTCTAGATGACACCTGGTGCCATGCTCAGCTCCAGTTGCCCACACTTCAGGAAGCACAGAGTCAGCTCGGCCAACTGTTGCCTGAGCTGGAGGGCCAAGAACCAGCAGGGTACTGGGTCAGAGAAGGCAGGAATTGGAACAGTCTAGTTTACAGGTGAAAGCTTGGGTGGACTTAGAGAGGCATATCCAAATAGTTAAAGAACTTCTGAGTAGAACAGAAATTATTTTTTTTTTTGGAGAATTAGGAACATTGGGTAAAAATCACAGGAATGAAAATTCTGGCTCAATNTTTTTTTTGGAGAATTAGGAACATTGGGTAAAAATCACAGGAATGAAAATTCTGGCTCAATCCAAAGACTGCTGAAGATGAGCTATGGGTTCAATAGTACAGTGGCTCGCTTGATGACAAAGGACGTGTTATCCATGACAGTGTTCGAGCAAAGACTGATGATTATCCACCAGGGGTGTTACTATGGGAATCCCAGCCCAGGACAGGAAGCTGGACTAGAGGGCCCTAATGTCACCTGAACTCAAAGAACTGACAGCCTATGGGGGCCATCAAATAATGCAGTGGCAAGTGAACAGTGGATCCCCACAGCATGGGGGTGACAGAGATGAAGGCACGATACCACCGAGCATGGAAGATGCCCCCCAGGCCTGGGCAGGCTTCAGGGAGGTGAGGATTGGTTGGAGCCCCCCTCCCATGACTTCCATACCCCCCTCTGCTCCTGTAACCCCGCCTTTCTCTCCGATGGTACCACCTCACTCTTCTTTGGTCCTGGCTCCTCTTCCTTGACTTGGCTTTCAAAGATTGGTGCTTTCCTGTGTTCTGGCCCTATCTCCCCCACTCCCCCATACTATTCATTTTCTCTGAGTGGTCTCATCCATTGCTATAGAGACAACAAAGACATCCATGAATTTTATTTGAATTCCAGATCCTTAAATTCACTGGCCCCTGGATATCTCCATGCAGTGTCCTTCCAGCACCTCAAATTCAGCATGTCTAAAGTTCAGCTCACCACCTTTCCTTCCAAATCTGCTCCTCCTTCTGGGTTTTTTACCTCTTTGAGTGACACCCCTACGAATATGCAGGCACACAAGCCTACACCCTGGGGTCATCCACCTGACACTTCCTCTCTCTAAACCTCCACGTGCAGTCTATTGCCAGCCTCTGTTGCTGCCACCTTATTAGAATTGTTTATAATGCTTTTCTCCTTCATACCCA